GGTTTCAAACCACGTTTTGTGATATCCCCCTCCTCCCTTCCCTCCTTCTCCCCCACCCCCTGCCGGTGTGCGTGGATCGCGGGTTTATGGAGATTAATGTTCTGGGGGAGGGAAGGAAGAGGAGAGGGTGAAGATGAATAATAATAATCCTAATAACCTGTTGTCGTGTGGTGGGGGGGTTGTTGCAGATCAGAAGAAGGAGGAGGAGGAGGAGGCGGCGGCGGCAGCGGCGATGGCTACAGAAGGAGGGAAAACCTCTGAGCCAGAGAATAACAATAAAAAACCCAAAACCTCAGGCTCCCAGGTAAAAGCAAACATATATATATATAATATAAAATTCATCGCGAGACGTTAGGGGAAAGAGGGAGTTATGCCCTTTAAATGCCCAAAAGTGAATAACAGGATAAAAATGTTTATCCACTCAAAGCATCTTTCTGAGAGTGAGGAAGTAAATTATAAATTCATAAAGATTTCACATGTTTGGGATATCGTTGTTTAAAATTCCACCAGGAACTCAGACTATAAGAAAAAGGTGTGTATTTTTCCAAGGGCATTTTGAGTTTAGGAAAATAACACGTCAAGAAAGTTTGTTAGAAATTTCCTTTTATTGAAACTTTCTATTACAGGATCTGCTTCCTTATTCCTATATCTTGCTGCTTTTGTTAATATTTATTTTGATTTCTGCCACTTCCTGAGTAAGTTCTGAAATGATGTCTAAATAAATAAACCCCTCCCAAGTACTGGCTTTCACTAAATGCACCCACTTTTTTTCCCCCCCTCTCCTTTACCATCCCATTTTGGGTAGGACTCTCAGCCCTCTCCTCTGGCTTTACTGGCAGCTACTTGCAGCAAAATAGGGACTCCTGGAGAAAATCAAGCAACTGGACAACAACAAATTATTATAGATCCAAGCCAAGGATTGGTGCAACTTCAAAATCAACCACAACAGTTAGAACTGGTAACAACACAGCTTGCTGGAAACGCTTGGCAACTTGTTGCCTCCACTCCTCCTGCTTCAAAAGAAAATAACGTTTCTCAACCAGCTTCTAGTTCATCTAGTTCTTCCAGCAGTAATAATGGGAGTGCATCTCCCACAAAAACTAAATCAGGTAATTCTTCCTCCCCTGGTCAATTTCAAGTCATCCAAGTACAAAATCCAAGTGGTAGTGTACAATACCAAGTGATTCCACAACTTCAGACAGTGGAAGGTCAGCAAATTCAAATCAATCCAACTAATAGTTCATCTCTACAGGATTTGCAGGGTCAAATTCAGCTCATTTCTGCAGGTAATAATCAAGCTATACTCACGGCTGCTAACAGGACAGCTTCTGGGAATATTCTTGCTCAAAATCTGGCAAATCAAACAGTTCCAGTCCAAATTAGACCTGGTGTTTCAATACCACTGCAATTACAGACCCTTCCTGGTACTCAGGCTCAAGTTGTAACAACCCTACCAATTAACATTGGAGGAGTGACGTTAGCTTTGCCAGTGATAAACAATGTGGCTGCTGGAGGAGGGACTGGACAGGTTGGCCAGCCCGCTACTACTACTGAGAGTGGGACTTCCAATGGGAGTCAGTTAGTTTCCACACCCACCACCACCACTGCTTCTGTCAGTACAATGCCGGAATCTCCCTCCTCCTCCACTACCTGCACAACCACTGCTTCAACATCTCTGACCAGCAGTGACACATTAGTGAGCTCAGCAGATACGGGCCAGTACGCAAGCACATCAGCCAGTAGTTCTGAACGCACTATTGAAGAATCTCAAACACCTGCTGCTGCTGAGTCTGAAGCCCAGAGCTCCAGTCAGCTTCAGTCTAATGGAATACAGAACACACAGGAGCAATCAAATTCTCTTCAGCAGGTGCAGATTGTAGGCCAGCCTATCTTGCAGCAGATCCAGATCCAACAGCCTCAGCAACAGATTATTCAGGCTATTCCACCACAGTCGTTTCAACTCCAGTCAGGGCAGACGATCCAGACCATCCAGCAGCAGCCTTTGCAGAATGTTCAACTTCAAGCAGTAAATCCGACTCAGGTGCTTATCAGGGCTCCAACTTTAACACCTTCAGGGCAAATCAGTTGGCAAACTGTACAGGTTCAGAATATTCAGAGTCTTTCAAATTTGCAAGTTCAGAATGCTGGGTTATCCCAACAATTAACCATCACCCCAGTGTCTTCAAGTGGTGGCACGACTCTTGCGCAGATTGCTCCTGTGGCTGTTGCTGGTGCCCCAATAACTTTGAATACTGCCCAGCTTGCATCAGTGCCTAACCTTCAGACAGTGAGTGTTGCCAACCTGGGTGCTGCGGGCGTTCAAGTGCAAGGAGTTCCAGTTACAATCACTAGTGTTGCAGGTAAGTCACTACAATCTTTTCTCTTTAAAGATCCTCTTACACAGGTTTTGATAACCATTGGTTATTGTTTTTCTTTGCTAACTCTTAGATTTGGCATAAACCTTTGAAGTAAACATAATCATAGGGAAGCTAAAATACACAGGAATATTATGCTAACTACCCTAACTCTATAATCATCAGTGTGACCATTCACAGTCATATTTTTTAGCATTAGGTTTCATATGTTAAATTTGTTATGGTTTTATCAAACTATTTTGTGAAGCAGAGCCTGATTAGAATCATAATTTTTTTTTTGTAATTTGGAGATCATATTTGAGTATACTGGAACTTTTCCGAAAGAACACTGGTCAGAATGCTAGTTTATGTCTTTTTTTTTTTTTTTTTTTTAGTTTATGTCTTCTTTAAGGGAAAGTAGGTTTAAAGTTGAAGTAGTGTACAGTTATGAGTCTGTTGAAGTTATAATTCGACTTGGTAATAAAGCTTTTTCTTAAATTGAGTTACTTCTCAACGTTTCTGCATCTTGTTGCCCAAACTTCTGCATTTTACTCTAAAGTGTTGTTTTAAACTAGCTATTGATGCAATTGAGAGTAATAATTTTACGTTGCAAACTGTTTCATTAATTTTTAAATCTGCTTTTCTGCTAACACCAGAATTTGCTCAAGGTTTTGAGTGAATAGTCCTTCACTTATAAAATTATATTTAAGTAAAATCTGTGGTGGTTACGGTATTTTTAGGTGTTTTTAGTGTGAAGTTGGTGGAAAGCAATGAAAAATGAAGACAGTAAAGTGTCACAAATTTGAATTCATTTTAAAACCAGTTTATATAGCAGTCATTTGTTATGTGGGAAAATAGATATTTCTGAAGTATTTGTAAATCTAGTCTTACTAAGTATTTTAATCTTTCTGGACCAGTCTTATTTTACCTAATGCCTTTTGTTTTCTAGTAATTAAACACTTTTCATTGATTATGATTTGGTGAAAACATAGTTGTGGTTTTAGTGTCTTTGATGCTTTCAGACCTCTTTCATTAAATTATTGCTATTTTGATAATCTAAAATGAATAAGCATATCACTTTGGAATGATCTTTCTTGTAACAAGTTTCAGATAAATTATGCTAGGGTTCTTGTTTTACAGTTAATACCTAAAGGCGATGTATATATTTAAAATTGGAAATTGCCAGATAGAGAGAGCTCTCTGATTCAGGAGAACAGATTATGTGTTTTATTTAGACACCCATTAACTCTAAACCAGAGCTATCCAACAGAATTTTCTGTGATGATGGAAATGTTCTGTATGTGTTCTATCCAATATGATAACCACTAGCCATATGTGTTTATTGAGCACTTAAACTGTGGCCAGTGTAACTGAGGAACTGAATTTTTAATTAGACTTTATTTTATTTAAATTTAAACTAAATAGCCACATCTGTATTGACAGCATAGAAACCTAGTGAAAGTATTTCAAGTGTGGTACATCTTCCCGTGAAACTGTTACAGCACAATTATATGTATGTTTCTCTGGATTACAATCCTTAGCTTGCTTTGTTCCTGCTCTTTCTAAACATTGACAATAAATTAAGTATTTTAGAAAAATGTGTATTTTGAGTGGGTTAAATGTAGTTTATATTGTCAA